AGCTGTGCCCCCAGCCAGCACCACTCCCCAGCCAGCTCTTCCTTCTTCTGCTGTGTCTGCAGCAGGGCCGCTGCCTGCGCTGCCTGTGCCTGGCAGCAGCAGGGTAAGCTGCACCTCCAGGGCCTGCTCCCTGCCCCTTGCCTGCAGGGGAGAGGAGGGGGAAGGGGAAAGGGAAGGGGAAGGGGAAGGGGAATGGGAAGGGGAAAGGAGAGGGGAGAGGGGAAAGGAGAAAGAGAAAAGGGAAAAGAGGAAGAAGGATGGGGAAAGGGGAAGGGGAAAAGAGGAAGGAGGAAGGAGGAAGGGGAAAGGAGAAGGCCCTGGCCTGCGGGAAGGGACAGAGAACAGCATTTTGCAGCACTCACCTCTTGATGGTGGCACCTGGAGGTCCACAAAGTGCAGGTGCCAAAAGCAGTGAGGAGCTGGGAGGGGTCATGCTGCACTCACTCCTCCTGGTGCCAGAGCTCTGGCAGTGATGGGAGCAGGACACCAGGGTCGCACAGCAGGGTCAGCCAGCACCATGCCAAGGAGGGCATGGTTCCCCCACCAGCACCAAGCTGCCCGGGGGGGACTGCCTCCTCTCCCCACCCTGACGAGCCTTACCTTCCTATAGCATCCCTCCCGCTCACAGTTCAGTTCCTGTGTGACCCCCATGGCCTCCACCAGCATCCCTGCCAGGCGCTGCCTGAAGGACTGTCATGGCTGCTGCCACAGCAGGAACTCCATCTGTGACAAAGTGATGCTCCTAGAGCATGCAGTGACCCTGCCAGCAGTAAGCCATAACCCACCACCCCCAGAAAAGCAGTGGCCTGCGTCTCTCTGCCCTCTTTTCCCCACATTGGGGCCTGGAGCGATCATCTCTCCTGCCTGACTTGGGCTCAGCATCTTCCAGGATGAGCCTGGACCCTTCTGATGGGGAGGGTGAAGCCCTCAGGAGCCCTGCTTCAGCAGCAGGGAGTCCTGCTGCTTTTGGCTCCTCTCTGGGATGCCAGCCAGCTTGTCCTCCCCATGTGATGGGGGAGGGCAAGACCGAGCTGCACATACAGCCCTGGCCAGAACGGTGGTTGGCGTGGGGGACTGAGGGCCCCCTGCTCAGGTGGGGTGAAACCAGGAGTGTAGGGCTTGGGTAGGGAGACACAGTGTCTGTCGCCCACTGTCAGGGGTTTAAAATCTGGCTGGGGCTCCCCAACCCTGGGCATCCCCAGCCTCCAGGCGGTGAGAAGCCTCGTGTGGGCTCCTGCTCACCTCCGTGGCTCATGCTGCAGGCACATGAGGATGCTCTGCAGGTTGAATCTCTGGCCCTGCTCCCTCTTAGAAGCCAGCTGGGGCTCCCCAGAGCTCAGCTGGTGGAAAGACAGATGGTCATGAGGGACAGACCCCTGCATGGAGAGTGGCTCCTCAGCCACACAGGACTGAAGGAGGCACAAGGACGAACTGGAAACAACCCCAGGGAGATCCAGAAACCTTATCTGGGCTATATAAAAGGGCCATAAGAGCCGGAGCCACAGGAGGTGGGAGGACTGGCCCTGAACCCCATGGCTCTCTCTCCCCTCCCCAGAAGTGGTCCCAGGGCCACATGCTTGGCTGTGACCTCCTTCCCACACCAGTTCCTGCTGCCACAGAGCCTCTCCCATTCCCTTCCCTGCTCTGACCAAGGGCAGGAATGGTTTGCAGGGAAGCCTGGGATTACTGAACTATGCTGTCCTGCTGGGAGAGCCCTGCCTTCCATCCATGGGCTATAATTATTAAGAGCTCTGGCTCAGGGCCTGTGAAGCTGGGGAACCTGCCCCAGGAAGGGCACGGCATGCACGCCCCTCTTCGGGATTTGTGGAAGATGCTGGAGGACTGAGGGCAGGTACGAGGGTACAGCCAGAAAGGCTGTGCGGAAACAAGAGCCAGTCTCTGCCCAGTTGTGGTCGGAGCTGTCCTAACTCAGGGCAGCCCAGGGGCTAAGCCTGTCCCAGGCAGCTCTTGGGAGGCGGAAGGTGACCAAGACCCCGCTCAGATCGGAGCACCGACCCAAAACTTGCCTCAGCAGTATCTGCTCCTCCTGGCGGCAGGGGCTGAGGACCGCCACCTCTGGCGCCACGGCCCGCTCCCACCCCGCTGCCCAGCGGTTTTGGGGCAGAAAGTGCCGGTTTGCGTGTCCCCCAGCACTGTCACCAGGCAACCGCGCCGTCGGGGCGCGCCGTCGCCATGGCGACCGCAGCCGCCGCGCTTCGGGCGCGGCGGGGGCGGTGTTGCCAGGGTGACGGCGGGGCCTACCTGCGGGGCGAGCCCACGCGTGGGGCTGGGCCGGGCCCGCGGCCCCCCCTACACCGCGGCGGGCAGGGGAGGGCGTGGGCCTCGGCGGGAGCCTGACCCGGGGGATCTGCCTGGTCGAGGGGCGCCGGGAGCTGCCCGCAGTGGGCGGGCCTGGGCCTGGGCCTGGCCCTGAGCCTGAGCGAGCTGTGGGCTGGGTGCAGGACTGGGCCCAGGGAACTCTGCCCGGCCGAGGGGCACCCGGTACTGCCCGCATCTGGCAAACTTGAGCCTGAGCTTGAGCCTGATGGAGCTGTGGGCTGGGCACGGGGCTGGGCCCGCAGGGCTGCACTGAGCGCCTGCATGGTGGGCATGGGGTCCCACAGCCCTCCCACAGCCACTGCAGCATGGCCTGGCTCCAGCACGAGCCTGCTCCCAGCTCCTGTGGGCACAACACAAATTCAGAGCAGACCTGCCCCAGCAGCCCCAGGCAGCTGGGCCTGTAGAGCCAAGCTGGGCCGGGGTGGGAGGGCGGTGGTTCGCCTTCATCTGGCACTGGCTGTGAGGGGATGCTGCAGGCATGCAGCCCCAGTGCCGGGAGAGGCGTGCGTGACCACAGCGTCGTCCTGGTGTGACCCGCCAGCTGAGCATCCCTTGTCATCCTGCTGGACTGCCAGGGGGCAGTCTGGCTGAACTGCCAGACTCCATACCCCGCCCTCAGTCTGCCTGGGGGTGACACAGTGCTCCCGGCAGCTCTCCCTGGCGCTCGCCCAGCAGTGGTGCTTGCCAACCCCTGGCTGTGGCTTCTCTCCGCCCACCCCGTGCCAGATCCCAGCCCTGCCCTCCCTGCCCACGTATTTTTACTCCTGCTCAGAGCAGGCTTGGGACAGTGGCAGAGCTGCCATGGCAGCCAGTGCTTCCCAGTGGCACAGCTACCTCGGGGTGATTGTGTCCCACAAGAGGCAGTGGCTGGAGCATTTCCAGCAGGCCGAGAACATCCTGCTGACCCTGCTGGAGGGCATCCACGCCAGGGAGCCCCGCTTCCTCATAGACTATGCCAGAAACCTGGAAGCCTTCGAGTTCACTCTCTGCGCCTCTGAGGATGCTGTCACCATGGAGGTCCCCCTGCGGATCAATGGCGATGCCCTGCAGGTGCTGGCATGCTGGCCCGGGGACACCCCTGCCGGGCACCATCCAGGGCTGGGCACCTGCTGTCTGGAAGTACCCTCTCCAGGGACTGACTTGGAGGACTGGACCAGTGCCGTGGGTGTGATGGAACGGGGAGGTGGTGCAGGGTGCCTGGTTCCAGGCAAAGTCCTCCAGCACCTGAAAGACCTCCTTGTTTCGGCCATCGTGTGCTGCCAACGCCGCTTCCTGTTTCAGCCAGGTGCGTATACTGGTGCGGCACTTCCCCAGCCAGGAGCTGCCTCCAGCACAGCTAGGGAGCCCAGTTCGGTGGTGGTCCCTGTGCAAACGGGCTGGGGCGTAAGTCCCCGGGCGCATGGCCCACCCAAAGCCTGCACGAGTGAGCAAGCACCCTGCCGGGTGCTGGGACAGGCTTTGCCCTCAGCTAAGGAAGGGGAGATGCAAACTACTCCCTGCCATCCCATGGCAGCAGAGTCATCCTTGGGCATCTTCACCCTGGGCTGATGGCACCCTTCTTAGTCGGTGGCAGCTCCATGCAGGGTTCACCCACCCCTGCTGTTAGTCCCTGGGGAGGGTTTGCTCAGGGACTTGGCATGCTTGGCTCACCTTAGCCGTGTTCCCCCCATCTCTCCTGGCCTCCAAGTGCCCCTGCTCCCTGGAAGAGGCTGTTTGGAGGGTGAGCTGGAAGCGTGTTAGGGCTGGACCAGGACCTTGGGGCATGGGTCTGACCCTGCGCACACACAGCCCCCGGCTGGGAGCAGCATCCCCAGGAAGAACATGGTGGGGAAGGGACCCTGGGAATGCTCGTAGGGGTCCCATCAGCTTCTTCATGCATTTCCATCTCCAAAGGTGCTTCTTGAAGTCAATCTCAGCCCTGATGGAAAGGTGATGTGAGAGGACCAGCAGGTCCCAGCCCCAGCAAGCCCACCATTCCCTCCTTCCTCTTCAGCCAAGCTAGAGCCCTTCATCTTCTTCTACCCCCACAACCTGAGACCTTTCCTAGTCCATTTTTCTTGGACCATGTTCTTTTTCTTGGCACTGTTCAGCTACCCAGCAGCATGGCCCCATTCAGTCACTTGGGGCTTCCTGCTGTGCCCACACCCACTGGCCTCGCCCTGAGCCCCGCTGGAGCGATGCTCCTTCCCGAAAACCACCCCAGCAGGGTTTGGAGAACGGCTTTCGCTGGGGAACCGCAGCCAAACTGCAGCATTGGAAAGGGATGGGTCGAGCGGGGTGGGATGTGCCCATGGGCGTTGCGGCACATACCTGGTTCAGCCTGTGGGACCAGCTGCGGTAACCTCCTAACTGCCACCAAACCCTCCGCATCTAGGTGACCTCAGTGCTGAAAATCTGCAGGAAGATGCTATGGAGCTCTCCTTGCTGATCCGTGGTAGCTGGAAGACTGTCCGCTTTGACATCGTCCCTGTGGTGAGGAGGTGGCAGGAGCCGCTCTGGCTCAAGGGGCGGCAGAGCGACAGGGGCTTCCCTGAAGGCAGCCTCCAGAAGGCCACAGAAGAGGCCCACTTTGTCCCTGCCTCTCCCCATTGCTGGAGGTGAGAGGCTCGGCTGCACACATAGCGGGGTGACCCTGCCCCGGGGATCCCACCTGGCCAGCAGTACTGCCAGGTGTAGGCAAAAAGGGGATGGGAAAGTGGAGGGACATGTCAGCAGGGGGGTGAAGTCACTCCCTCTTGATGCCCAAACCTGCTGCCCTGTGTTGGGGGCAAAACCTCAGCCAGATTCCAGGCAGCTCAAGGAAAGAGGGGGGAGGCTGCAACTGAAAGAGCCCCCTCCAAATTGCTCACAGGAGCTGAACCCCGGCTGCACGGAGGGTGGCAGATCTCACATCTGCTTGGGCTTCGGGAGTGAGCCTGGGCATCTGGCAGCAGCAGGGTGATGAGGTGACTCTCAGGGCAGGCTATGGGTGGGAGGGGGGCCGGGGTGACACACATCTTGCCTGCCAGCATGTCTACCCGGCCCTGAGGAGGGGCCAAGCATCCAGCTGGACCAGCCCAGGCTTATTTTGGGCACAATGTGGTCCAGCTGGATGCTCGGCCCCTCCTTGGGGTCCAATCCAGCCTCCATTCCAGGGCAGCCTGCAGCCCTCCCTGCTGCATGTAGGGGAGCACAGCCTCACTTCGCCTCCCCTCTTGTCCCTCCCGGGAAGGCAGGAGCGGCTCAGCAGCATCCCCATCATGCTGCAAATCTCCCCAGTCCCTCTTTGTCAGAGGTGGGTGTGGGAGGTGGATCCAGGATGCTGCGTGCCTGGGGCCACGTGGGTGGCTAGGGGGGATCCGCACATGTGCTGGATCACTGCAGGTATCCTCTCCCCAGCTGGGAGGATGCAGGTCTCCATCCTCCCCCTCACCGGATCCCACTTCTCTCACCAGATCCTCCACTCATCTCCCCATCCTGAAGCTGCTCCAGGCAGTGGACACACTGAAGGGACGCCATCTGGACAGCCTGCTTGACCAGCTCCGCAGCCAGGACTGGGGAGAGGAGGGTGGGAAAGGCGGTCTCATCTTCAACCACCTGAAGGTAGGTAGGTTCTGCCGGCGGGACCGGGGCTCTCCGGGCAGGCAGAGCCAAGGCTGCTCGCCTGCACCCTGCTGCAGCCGAGTCGCTGCTGGAAGAAGATCCCAAGCAACAAAACCAAGTACCTGCAGTGCTTTGGGATGTACCAGCCCATGGCTGTGTCCGGAAAGGATGGATGCCACTGGCCATGGTTAGAGGGGTTTGATCCTTCTTCCTTGCAAATCGCAGGCACTGGCTGGATTGAACCAGCAATCTGCAGCCTGAAACACTCTGAGCTTTAGGAGCTGGGGCTCTGTGCTGATGTGCCAGGTATCCCCTGGCACAGACTGCCTGTGTCTGCAGGGGCCATGCTGGGGATTGCATGGCCATGCCTGCCATGCCACAGGTTGTCCTGTGCCCCAGCATGCTGGGAGGTGCCCGTGCAGGGCTGAGGGTGGTGTTTCCTCTGACAAAACCCTCTCTCCCTGCCCAACCTGTTTTCGGCACTCTGGACCCACGCCAGCTGGTGATGCTGGTTGGAAAAGGGGCCACGCTGGGGACAGCACCTGGTGGCACAATCCAGGTGTGCCCTGCCTTGTGGCGGCTCTCTGGTCCGGGGTGGAGAAGGAGGCAAAGTTGTCTTCTGCTGAGAGAATGGCTCCAGCTCCAAGTAACACAAATTCTGTGGGTTTTGTTTTATGTTGTGTTCTTTGACCTTTTTTTTTTTTTAAAAAAAAGGACACAGTATGCCTCTGTCCTTCAAAAAAGCATCTTCTGCTCCAGCCCACTGCGTGCATTGCCCATTACACCATGTCACCAAAAGTCATTGGTGCCAGGCCGTTTGCCAGTGCAGTGCCGAGGAAGCTGGTGTGGTGCGGCACTCTGGACCCACGCCAGCTGGTGATGCTGGTTGGAAAAGGGGCCACGCTGGGGACAGCACCTGGTGGCACAATCCAGGTGTGCCCTGCCTTGTGGCGGCTCCCTGTCCGGGGTGGCACTCTGGACCCACGCCAGCTGGTGATGCTGGTTGGAAAAGGGGCCACGCTGGGGACAGCACCTGGTGGCACAATCCAGGTGTGCCCTGCCTTGTGGCGGCTCTCTGGTCCGGGGTGGAGAAGGAGGCAAAGTTGTCTTCTGCTGAGAGAATGGCTCCAGCTCCAAGTAACACAAATTCTGTGGGTTTTGTTTTATGTTGTGTTCTTTGACCTTTTTTTTTTTTTAAAAAAAAGGACACAGTATGCCTCTGTCCTTCAAAAAAGCATCTTCTGCTCCAGCCCACTGCGTGCATTGCCCATTACACCATGTCACCAAAAGTCATTGGTGCCAGGCCGTTTGCCAGTGCAGTGCCGAGGAAGCTGGTGTGGCAGCTGCTGGGGGTTCACCTGCCTTGCCAGCAGCTGATGGAAACCACAAGCAGGGTTTTTTACTGTTGTTTGGTGCCTGCAGAAAGCTTGGGCGTGTTGTTTCGGAGCTGCTGCAGAGCTGGGACCTGCCTCAGAGCTGAGATGGGGGCTCTTAGGGGAGTGAAGCAAAGGTTCAAAACTAAGGGGTGGTGGGGCATCGGCTGCGCCTGCAGCAGCCAAAGCAGCAGCTCCAAGAGCCTGTGCAGCCCTAGGCTGCTGAGGACGTGATGTCCGTGTTGAGGGCTCAGCCCCACAGATGGTTGCGTGGTGACCTGCAGGGTGTGAAGGCACGGCCTTTGTGGGGAGTGTCCGATCCCACACCCTTCTCTCCCTCCCCACAGATGGTGCTGCTGTGGAGCACGGAGCTCTTCCCCTCCCCAGAGGACTGGCAGGACCTGGAAGGCTCAGTCTACAGGCTCTTGGTGATCCTCCTCCGCTGCCTGGCCACCCGGCACCTCCCCCACTTCCTGCACCCAGAGGAGAACCTCTTCCAAGGAGAGCCCCGAGACCTCGCCTCCCTCTACTGTAAGGTGGAGAGCTTCGCCCAGGACCCCCGACACTTCCTTCACTTCCATTTTGGCCTCCCTGTGCGCACTGACAGCTGGCAGGCAGACCCCAGTACCCGAGCCCTCCTGCAGATCCCTGCCAAAGATGGGTCTTACTGCGACACAGCCTACTTTGACATCCTGCTTAGCCAGGTAACGGGGACCGGAGACCCTGGGCTGGTCTCATGAGGCAGAGCGTGGCAGCACCAGAAACCACCTGGGCTGGGCAGCTTAGGATGTGCTGGAATTTGCCCCCCAGAGCCCTCTGGCCCCTGGCAGCCACTGGCATGCGCTGCCCAACCCCATCATGGAGGCTGCAGGAGGCTGGTGATGCTGGGGCACAGAGCTCAAGCAGAGCAGGGAGCCCTCTCCCCTCACTCCCCACCTGCCTCCGCTTAGTTTCAGGTGTACCGGATCCAGGACAGCGCGCGCTGCTTAGCAATGTCCCAGCTCCTCTCCAAGATCCAGCGAGAAATCCCCCAGCAGACCTGAGCGGGACCCTGCTGCCACCCCATCTGGGTGTCTTGAAACTCGGGGAGGTGCAAGGCGAGCTATGGGGCCAGGGAGCAGCATGCTGCCGTGTCGCTTTATTGAGGAAAGCTGGTACTGGGGAGCGAGCACATGTCTGCTGCAGCTGGGTGGGGATGCACAGCTTCTTGGCTCCCCTGGTAGAGCTGGGTGCCAGGGTGGGTGTTTCATCCCAGGGTACCTAATCTGGGGGGATGGATGGCATCCTGCACTGCTGGGCTCTGGTGCAGGGATGGCTGAGGGTGATGGTGGTGGGAGGGGAAGGGACCTGTGGTCGGATCCTGCATCCAGCCCTCATGTCAGCTTGCAGTGGGGCTGCCATGCCCTGAGGCCAGGGGAAGGGGAAGAGCTGGGGGGCCAGGCCACCAGGGTGAGGAGTGACCCTGCGTGGGGGACTGGGAGAAGGGGTTTTGAGCCACATCCCATGTCTGCTGAGCTGCAGCCCTCACCTCCATGTCCCCTGCTCTTCCAGCTTCTCCTTCCCGCTCTGGCTTGGCTTGCTGGGTGTTGCAGCGTTTCCTGCCAGCTCCCTGGGGAGGCAGCGGAGCCTCTCTGCCTGCCAGCTGCCTACAGCAGGGCATGGGGGGGAGTGCCACGCTGCCTTGTCTGGACCCCCCCTTTGCAAGGGTGCTCACAGCCTGCTGCGGTGGCAGCACCTGAGGGCATCTTGCAGGGCACGCAACACACGATCCACGTTGCCACTGGTCGAGTTGCAGCCCATGAGGCCAATTCGCAGGACCTGGGAGGAGAAGGGCAAGTGTCTCCCTGCAGCACCCACCTTTGCGGCCATGCCCCGGCACCGTCTCCCTGTGAGCAGAGCAGCCAGCGGCAGAGCACAGGCTTCTGCGCAGAGCAGGGGGCACGTGAGAAGCGGCCATGCGCATGGCCGGGTGTGAGTGCATGTGCACAACTCCCTGCTTGCTCCTATATAACATGCGTTTCCTCTAAAGATGTGTCACCCTGCTAATTATGTGCATGGTTATTCAATTACGTGCAGCAATTGTGTGTGGTTAGGAGCCGCTATGCATTGCTGTAGGCAATGGGATGCATCCAGCCGTGTGTTTGCTGTTTGCAGCCAGAGAGCACCAGTTAACCATGGGGCACGCTACTGATGGATGCGACTACAGCCGGGTTCGGTGCCTGGCCGTGGGCAGTGGGAGGGGAGGATGCTGCCCACCTTGCCCACTGAGGGGCCCAGGCCCCCAGCGATCTCGATGGCGTGGTTGTCCATGAGAAAGGCTGTGATCTCCTTCCAGTCGTAGCCCTCAGGCACCCTGACAGTGGTAATGGTGGGAAGCCTTGCCTTCTGGGGAAGAGAGAAACCGGGTTAAATCTGCAGCTCCTGGCCTCAGCCCTGTCCCCCAGTGAGCCCTGCAGCCTGCCAGGAGAGAGCATCGCTGGGGGAGCAGTTTTTTCTCCAGCATCAAAAGCTGCCCAGGCACGTCTCCAGCTGCATAGGGCCATGTCCTCACACTGCCCCTGCACCATGGTGGTGGGCTCGCCCTGCACCCACCTCCTCCTTCACAAAGAGCTCAAGCCCCAGGTCGTGCAGACCCTGGCACAGCTGGGTGCAGTTGGCCCGGTGGCGCTCCCATGAGCTCTCCAGACCCTGTGGGCAGAGAGGAGGGAGAAGGTCCTGGCACCCACTGCTCCCCCAAACCCCACCAGCACTGCTGGTGCCCCCCTGCCTGCCCAGCACTGCTCACCAGCTCCACCAGCATAGCCAAGCCTTCCCGCAGGCTGAAGAAGCTGTTGATCGGTGCCGTGTGATGGTACCTGCAAAACCCAAGGGGCACCCAGGCAGGTTCAGCCTGGCCTGCAGCAGAGCAGTACTCCAGCTCGCGGTAGGGGGGAACCAGGGTGCGGCATCCTCCCTCCTGTTCACCCAGTGTAGAGGGGATGCAAATACCCCGGGGCCGCTTTGCAACCAGCGGACAGGATGATGGGGAGACAGGGCCCGAGTCCTGCAGGGCAGGCAGCCCCCAAGCCGGGGCGAAGGCTGTGGGTGGGACGGCTGCGGCCATCTGTCCTGGGACAGCCTGCCCTCACCTTCGCGGCTCCCCGTCGCAGCCCCAGTAATTTGCCAGCCAGCCCATGTCCAGGTAGAAGGATGGGGGCTTCGTCTTCCTCTTCAGCATCTTCTCCCTGGTGAAGCAGAGTGCTAGGGAGGAGCCGGACCTTGACCTCACTAGCTCTGGAGTGGGGTCAGTCCTGCAGGAGGGCCCCCCCAGAGCAAGCACAGAGGTTGGCTCCAGTGCCAATCACTGCCCAGGGATAGGTGAGGCTCTGACCCCGCAGAGCGGCTGCTGGGTGCGCTCTCCAGAGTGGGGCTGGAGCAGATGGCTGGCAAAACAGGGGGGGTGACAGCCTCCCCCCAGCCCCATCGCTTTTCCCCCTGGTGGGACAGGGCTGCCCTTACCTGGCTCGCTCGCTGAATGAGATGGGGGCACTGCCGGGGGGGGCGTTGAGGACTTTCTGAGACCCCGAGTATAGGACATCGATCTCTGCCCGAGAAGGGACGCAGCTCCTTAGGGACCGGGGGCTCCCTGTGGGGACACGCTGAGCCCCCCCAACCCAGCTGCAAGTGGTGGGTGGAAAGCCCAGGGTGGCACACACTGCAGGTCCTGCTTGTGTTTGGCCTGCTTTGGGGGACACCCTGGCACTGCTGATGGTCCCCCGAGGGGAACAGGCTCTCTGACTGCAGCTGGACCAGTTTCTAGTGCTGCTAGCCCGAAATGTGAGCGGTGGGGCTGATCCCACTGCCCTCCCTCCCTGGCCCAGGCACGAGCTCCCTTGTCCCCTGGCTGCCCGTGATGGCACTGTGGCTCTTACCCTGCTGGTCCATGAAGATAGGGGCTCCCCCGAGCGATGCCACAGCATCCACGAGCAGCAGGCAGCCATGCCTGTGGGAGGACAGAACTCAGCCTGGTGTCCCTGCCACCTCCTCCTGCCACCTCCACTTGCCACCCCCCTGCCTGCAGTCCTGGCATCCCGGTCCCCCCAAGGCTGTGTGTCTCACTGGCACCAGCTGCTTCCAGCACAACAGAGCTATAGGAGAGCCCGGGGCATGTGAATCCCTGTGCCCCAATCCCTGATGGTGACCTTGGGGTGCCACCAGCCCTCACGGGTGCCTGCAGTGCACTGACCGGTGGCACAGCTCGCCAAGCCTCTCCAGTGGCTGCAGCACCCCTGTGGAGGACTCGCCGTGGGTAATGAAGAGCACCGAGGGCTTGTGCCGCGCCAGGCCCTGCATGAAACAGAGGGAAGGTGACCGCCCCCAGGGCCTGCTCGTGCCCACTGCCCCGCACTGGCACTCACCTCCTCGATGTCCCACGGGGTGAAGTACTCGCCTGGGGACTTCAGCAGCTCATGGACATTGGCTCCTGGGAAGGATTTGGACAGAGGGAGACTGAGGTTTGCGCATGCCTCCCACTGGGCAGCCACCTGCTCCGTGAGGGAATTGGTCATGCATGAATGAGGAGCGTGGCCACCCGCCAGGGTCTGGCCTCCCGTGGATTTGCCCAGTGGAAAAGCCATAAACCACTATAAACAGAGGAACATCACCCTGGAAAAAAACTGGAGTGCTCTCCGGCTGTGGAAGCCATGTCACTGGCCACTGCTGCCGAGATGGGGACAGCAAGCCAGGGGTTATATACTGGCATCCCGCCTGCAAGCCCTGTTCCCTGAGCCCTGCCAGTGCCATCCGGCTGTCCCCAGCATACCCAACCTCCTGGCGATGTCAGCGGCGCGTTGTCCCCAGATGCCGTTGATGGCCACCAGCACAGTGTCACCATGCTCCAGGAGGTTGAGGAGGGAAGCCTCCATGGCGCAGTGGCCGGTACCGCTGACGGCCAGAGTCAACCGGTTCTGCGTCTGGAAGGCATACTGGATGCCCGCCTTGATCTCATCCATCACCTGCGGTGGCAGGGGACCAACTGGCACCGCTATTGCCCCCCTCACCCTGGCAGAGCTGTCCCAGCCCCTCGTGGGGGGCGAGGGAGAGGGGGGGAGGAAGTCTGGGCTGGGGCAGCTCACCTGCAGCACCTCAGGGTGCATGTGGCCCAGGAGCTGTCGGCCGCCTGCAGCCAGGATGCGGGGGGGCACGTTGCTGGGCCCCGGCCCGAGCAGCAGCCTCTCTGGCATAGCCAGGGGCTGGAGCAGCCCCTGGGGTGGGGGGACATGGAGCATGCTGGTGGTCATGGCGTGCCTTGCCGTCCTCAGGAGCCGAGCCCGGAGGAGAGGAGTAGTGGAGGCTGCCCGTGCAGCACCCAGCACCACAGCGCAGTGCATCCTGTGGCAGCAGTGTCCAGCGTCCCTGTGGACCCTGACCCCAGGGCTTGGTGCTCCCCCGCTGGCCTGGACTCTGCCCCTGGCCTCCTCCTTGTCCGGTTAATGTGCCACCAGCACTGTCCCTGCTGTCTCAGCCACCTCATTTTGGGAGTCCCCCCTTGCTAGTGCTGGGGGGGTTGCTCCTCAGGCATGCCAGCCTCTGGGAGTGGCAAGCACCCATGCAGACCCTGTCCCCACAGCCCCCTGGACACCGTGGTTCATGGTTCCCAACACCATCCCAGCAGGTGGGAACCCTGCTCCTGGGCTCGCAGGTCCTGTGCCATGGGATGATTGCATTGGGACTGGCTCAGCACAGCTGCCATGGTCATAACCCCTCCAGCAGCACAAAGCTCTGTTGGCCAGGTCTCCCTGACCAAGGACCTGCGTTGCAGAAGAATGCCTGGCCGAGTGACAGCTGCCTGGAGGAGGGTGGCCATCGGGATGGTTTACACAAGGGCAGAGCCATGGGGTGGGACATGGCCGCAGTCCCTACTGCAGTGAGCTGTCCTGGCTTGTGGGCATCACAGCATGTCCTGATGATGCCACAGGCCACGTGTGCCTGTTCAATATGCTGTGCCTGTCACGTGCCATGTGTGCCAATGGTCCATTGTATCATGCCCATCCTCCGGCACATT